AGGAGGAGGAGGAGGAGGTGGGCGACTCAGAGAGTCGGGCTCGACTGTGCGGATATTCGCGCGCAAGCTGCCTGCGTAGGATAGCGAGCAAGCGCCCCCATTCCCATGTAGCCTGCCGCGCCGGCGGCCTGCGTGAGTCACCGCGTAGGTCGCCACGTCGTCGGTCATAATCCCCGCTTCGTGTCGTCGTTTAGGCGGAGAACTGTAATGCTAGATGTGATGCTGTGTGATGGCCCCGGTACGGCGAAAGAAGCCCGGCAGGCATACTGAAAGTCTCCACGTCGTGCGTGTCCCCACCAACCCATCCAGGAACGAATCCGAGGCGAACTGCCTTGATTCGGAAGCGGTAGGAGCGTGCAGGAGAGCGAAATGGTGTGGCAGCCGTCAAGCCGAAGCCTGGGCAGACCAGGGAGCCCATCATTAAGCTCTTTACGGAGTTCTCGATTTGGGAGTCTCTTGAGCGCTCGCTGGGGCCATCAGGGGGGTGGGGCAGTTTTGCAGGACCTTTCCTTTGGACTCTCGTGGGGCCCTCCCGGGAGCCCCGACAGCCGCCCTCTTCGGGGCATCTTGGAGGACATCTGCCAAATATAAAGAGGGCCCCCTTTGGGAGTCTGAAGACTTGCCTCTTTGGACGCTGTTGGCGCACTCCTCACAGGCTTTCGGATCAGACTCGGGTCCCTTCTGGGCCCCCCTCTTGGAGCTATCACGAGCTGTCTTGGACGATTTTGGTGCCATCTTGAGCCCCCAGTGGCTATTTCGAGCCGCCTCGAGTGCTGCGGGCTATCGCTACACCCCGACAACACCAAGGTGATGACAATGTACGGGCGAGGAAAGGAGAGGCAGCTCATAGCCACATTTCGGTTAACGGAATGCAGTTGCATTTGTTGCAGCCGGGCGAGGCATTCAGGTTTCTGGGCAGGAAAATCTAATTTCAGGACGCGCACGGCGTCGAAGTAGACAACCGGGTACGGTCTGCGTGGAGGAAGTTCTTCGTATTTATGGACGACCTCACAAGTCCAGGTTACCCGTTGCGCTCGAGGCTCTGGTTATTCGATTCCTTGGTTACCCCCTGCGCGTTGTACGGCGCAACTTGCTGGATTTTGACGGCCGAGATGGAGCGAAAGGTATTGAAGACACCACGCCAGATGCTGCGACTCGCATTGGGTGCTGGCAGAAGGGCCATACCACAAGAAAAAACACGTGACGTCATGCAGCCTGGGCTCTGGCTGCAAAGAGGCAGAAGTCGAGACGTGGGTAGAGCGGACTCTATAGGCTTACGCCACATCCGCCGACCCCTCGATCGAATTGGGGAGGTCCAGTTGCTGTCCTGGGGCGTACTTGTGTTGTCTTGTTTCTTTGGGTGGGCGGGCTCCCTCCGTGGACAGCAGCAATGTCGCGCGCGACGAAAAGGAGGGCACCCTGAAGTGCAAGGCATGCAAATTATACCCATGCGAGTGCCGGTGCCACGATCCGTAGAAGTACGACCAACGAGGGTGAGAGCGAGGGGGAGGACGAAACCGATGAATGAGGAAAGCCAAGCAGGAGAAAGCGGAAGGGGAGGAGGAGGCGGGTGAGGGTGGGGGAGAGGCGGAGGAGGGTCATCGGAGGAGGAAGAGGAGAAGGAGGAGTGACGATTTGGCTTGGAGGCGTGTGCTCTTTCCTGTCTCTGGTGGCCATTGGGAAGGATGTCTGACACTTCGGACAGCGTGTGCGTCGCCTTGGATGTCGAGACCCTGTGCAAGTGTCTGGACCGTGCGATTTGTCCTGGCCGTGGTCCCAAACCGGCTTGGTATGGGGGTCAGAATATGAGGGGTGTTTCGCGGGGTCTCTTCGGAGCGCTCTGGAGGCGGGGGCAATGTCAGATGGTGGAGGGATGCTGCGTGGTCAGTGCGTTTTTTCGTGGCTGACTTTCGAAGTGTTCGCCGTGCAGACATGGAAAAATACCCGCGAACACCCGCGCTTGTTGACGGCAGGTCTCGGTCCAAAAACCGGTCGAGTGGTTCTCGAATGGGACGCGGCGCATCCCGCCACCTTGCTTGGGTTGCAGGTATGCCGCCACGCGGATGGTTAAGAGGATCTCGTGGGAGGCTGGACGGGGTCGTCTTGCAGGTAGTTTTGGGGCCCTTTGGGGACTGCCTTGGGGCTTCTTGGAGGCTTCGGAGGTTTTCTTGGAGGTCCCTCAGGGCCTTTTGGGGTGTTCTTGGAGCAGGCTGGGGGCGTCTTGGGGCCGAAGGCTCGAAAAGGTGCCCGTTGGACTCCGTCTTGGAGCCGTCTGGGGGCCCTCTTGGGCTGTCTTGGGGACATCGTGGGCTGTTGTTGGACCCTCTTCGACCCTTCTTTGGGGCCCCTTTGGCTGTCTGGGGGCGATGTTGAAGGTTCCTTTGCCTGTTTTGGACGTTGTGAAAGCCGAGTGGGCGAGCATGCGATAAATGCTTGGTTTTTGCGACCCTCTTGGGGCGCATCTTGGGGGTCTTTTGGGACGTCTTGGCAGCTTCGGAAACCACCTGGAGGCCATCTTGGGCGTCGAGGGGCGATATGTCGGCGAATCGTGGCCCCCAGGGACCGTTTGGGCAGCGTTTCGGTTCCTTCTTGATCAGTTTTGGACCCCCCCGCTCCCCCGTGGCGCGTTCGGTCTGGGGTCGGGTTTGGCGAAGGGGGGGGGGTCGAATTGCCGGTTTGGGGTCCCTGGGGGCGGATTATGGGGGGGAGAATCTCACGCGCCTAGAGACCCACAAGGGGTCGGCGGATTCAACGCACAACACGAGACATTGAACGACGACTGGGAGATATTTGTATGTTTGATAAAGTTACGCAGCTCAGGGCTCGAAATGGAAGTTTGCCAAAACTCCCCTGCCCACGGACATGCACACATGGTAGTGCAAGTCTCCCAGCCGAGTTCAAAGCACGAGGGACCACATTGGTCGTCCGGCCAGGACGTGGACGGATTGCTTTGTGGACATGTGCGGCAACACGTGGACAGATACGCCGCCCGACCAATTGAAATGGGCTAAACTTGAACTTCGTTTCACTTCGCACTGAATACAGAGCCCGCGGCCATTGCGCAAGCAGCCCCGCAGGTAACACCGCTCGCGTGTCCTCCGTCGTCCCCCTCGTCGTTCGCCCCTCCTTGTCTTCTTCTTCGGCCTCTCGTCCCCGCTCGTTGTGCGTCCCCCTCTGCTTTCCCCCATACCGTCCTAGCTGGCTCCAGACCAGCTGTTGCAGTAGCAGAAGGAGCAATTGTGGCACCATTTTCAATTTTCGATGCGCTCTGCGCAAGCAGCCCCGCAGGTAATCCGGCTCGCGTGTCCTCCGCCGTTACTCTCGTTTTTCGTCCGTCCTTTTCCTGTTCTTCGGCCTCTCGTCCCCATTCGTTGTGCGCCTCTCTTTGCTCTCGTCCGTCCTTCCTTCCCCCCAGGCTTTGCTAGATATCTCCAGACCAGCTGCTGCAGTAACAGGCAGCAGTCGGGGCAACAACTTCGTTTTAGTGTCTGTCTGTCAGCTGCTGTGGGCAGGCCCCTCGGCCTGCACGCAGCCTGCCGTCCATCCCCTTAATTGGGGCCAGTCTCTGGCTGCGCGCTCGTTCGCGCTCGCTCGAGGCGGTCTTGAGACCCACCAGACACATGTTCGAACCCGTGTTGTACCAACTTAGACTAAGTTGTGCAATCTTGGAGGCCACCTTGGGCTCTTCGGGGACGTTTTGGAGCGATGGCACCTTAAACCACATGCGCCCAGGGGGCTGGTGAGACCAGCAGCGCTGACGCGCGGGGTCGGAAGGAACTCCAGTGGAGCAGGGGGAGTAAGAGCAGTATGAGTAGGAGTCGGAGTCGGAGTAGGAGGAGGAGTAGGAGGAGGAGGAGGAGGAGGAGGAGGAGGAGGAGGAGGAGGGCGATCAAGAGGAGGAGTGGGGCCGCAGCAGCATCGGCATCAGCCGCAGCAGGTCGGGGACGAGCGAAACACGCACTACCTCTACTTCAACACGGAGATCTACAACCGGCAGTGGTTCCGCCTCCCTCTATTTCTCCGCCATGGATCGGATCTATAACATTTTCAGTAGCGTACTCAGAAAGAAATCTAGAATCAACAGCGTACTCATACGCATATTCAGAAAGAGTCAAAATCCAAAAAATAATTATCCCGGCAAAGCAACCTAACAGCGATGTGTAGGAGCATATCTGGAAGCATTCCCCTTAAGATTCGGATGAGAATCCAGTTGTAGAATTCTGCTGTTCTCGCAGTCGTAGTCGCATTCGCGATGACAGTCGCAGTGGCAACGGCAGTCGCAGTCACAGCCTCAGCCTCAGCCTGCCTCAGCCTCAGCCTCAGCCTGCCTCAGCCTCAGCCTGCCTCAGCCTCAGCCTCAGCCTGCTCAGCCTCAGCCAGTCTGCCTTCAGCCGGCCTCAGCCTCAGCTGCCTCAGCCTCAGCCTGCATCAGCCTCAGCCTCAGCCTCAGCCTGCCTCAGCCTCAGCCTCAGCCTCAGCCTCAGCCCTCAGCCTCGGCCTCAGCCTCAGCCTGCCTCAGCCTCAGCCTGCATCAGCCTCAGCCTCAGCCTCAGCCTGCCTCAGCATCAGCCTGCCTCAGCCTCAGCCTCAGCCTGCCTCAGCCTCAGCCTCAGCCTGCTTCAGCCTCAGCCTCAGTCTGCCTTCAGCCTCGGCCTCAGCCTCAGCCTGCCTCAGCCTCAGCCTGCATCAGCCTCAGCCTCAGCCTCAGCCTGCCTCAGCATCAGCCTGCCTCAGCCTCAGCCTCAGCCTGCCTCAGCCTCAGCCTCAGCCTCAGCTTCAGCCTCAGCCTCAGTCTGCCTTCAGCCTCGGCCTCAGCCTCAGCCTGCCTCAGCCTCAGCCTGCATCAGCCTCAGCCTCAGCCTCAGCCTCAGCCTGCCTCAGCATCAGCCTGCCTCAGCCTCAGCCTCAGCCTGCCTCAGCCTCAGCCTGCTTCAGCCTCAGCCTCAGTCTGCCTTCAGCCTCGGCCTCAGCCTCAGCCTGCCTCAGCCTCAGCCTGCTCAGCCTCAGCCTCAGCCTGTCTCAGCATTCAAAATGTGGCCCGGGAATGGAGTTCTGGGAACTCGAAGAACACGAAGTGGCCTACAGTTGGCTCCGGGCATTCAAAATGGCCTACAGTTGGCCCAGGCATTCAAAAAATGGAGTGGAGTTCTGGGAACTCGAAGACCACGAAGTGGCCTACAGTTGGCTCCGGGCATCCAAAATGTGGCCCGGGAATGGAGTTCTGGGAACTCGAAGAGCACGAAGTGGCCTACAGTTGGCTCCGGGCATCCAAAATGTGGCCCGGGAATGGAGTTCTGGGAAGTCGAAGAGCACGAAGTGGCCTACAGTTGGCTCCGGTTATTCAAAATGTGGCCCGGGAATAGAGTTCTGGGAGGTCGAAGAGCACGAAGTGTGTGACTGTTGGTTTAAAACGAGCCCGGCTCTGTTCCCGGCCCTCCTCCCCGGCACCCGCCCAGACCCCCCTGTGGAGTCCAGATGCTCTCTTTTGACACCACTAGAAACCTATCAGCAAAAGCTGTTAGGTAATAAACTTTCGTAGCTCTACGCGGATTGCTTGGATCTGAGCTGGACCCCCCTGGCGGCGCCCCCGGCGCCGCTCCTGGCGCGCTCCGCGCGCCATGGAGGGGGGGTCCCAGCGCCGATCCAAGAAATCCGTGCTGACCCTGCCCCCCAAAGTCAAGGTTGGCACGCGCGGGGGAGACTGCGGTCGAGGTGCAACTCATCAGACCCACCGCCAACTTTGAACATTGGAGGGAGGGGGAGGCGTTCACAGATGAACGTGGCATGAGTGTTCGCTATTTTTTTCCGAGGCCTGTATGGCCATAGGGGCCTAGCCTTCGAGGATAGAAGGAGTGGTCAGCTCTTCCTCGGCGGAAGATGGCGCAAGGACGGCGGAAGGCGACGGAAGTAAAATGCGGCGTCCCACGAGAAGTGGCAAGGTTTCGTGCTCCAGGGTTTTTTGAACTCGCCATATGGGGTCCCGAGGGAAAGGTGTCCTACAGTCGAGCATCTGATGAAAAAAATCGCCTCCCGAAAAGCTTAGCCTTAAGTCGGGCCTGTCCCTCTACAGGGGGAATATTCAAAAATGGTCAAACAATTGTCTGGGGACAATGTTTTAAGTATTGTTTGGCCATGTTGGGGTATGTTTTGGCTATTTTTTACTTCTCGTCGAAAATCCCCCTGTAGGGGGACAGGCCCAACCTAAGCTTAGCTAGCATTTCTTACCCAACTTGCCGAAAAGCTGGCCCAGATTCGTGAGCACGTGCGCCCCTCCAGCGTTGAGAACAGACGTTGGCCTAGAGTTGTTTCAAGAAACTTCCGGGAAGCTGGCACAGATGTCTTAAATGATAGTTTCGGGGGCCGCAAGATGACTAGGGGGGGTGGATATCATGGCGCGGGCCATGATATTTCCCCAGATTTCATGGCGCCTCTTCTTGCTTCATTGCGTCCCTGGCCCCCCCGCTGGGCCGCGCACATGCCGCCGGTCATGATTTGCCCCGCCCCCCCCCCCCCTCCCTCTTGGACACCCCCCTCTTGGCCGCTCCCGGCAGTTTTCTTGATCGCATTTTCGGCTGTGGTGTTTTCGCTGCGCGTTTGGCCTTTTGGTGGCGTCTCTCGGCCCCGCACGCCCTGCGCGAGAGGTGGGCAGCCGGCTCTGGGGGAGTCGTGGGGCGTCCAGGGGCACGGTTCCCTCGGGGCCTCCCGCAGAAGCACTCGGTTCCCCGTCTTGCAAGAAGCCCGTCTCGGCGGCGAGCCTGGGTGGGAGATGAGCAGGGGCGGGCCTTCTCAGAAGGCTCGGAAGTCCCCCGAGCCTTCTGAGAAGCCCCGCCGCCTTCTGAGAGGGCATGCTCCTTCTCACTCCCCACCCTAGCTCGCCGCCAGCAGTTGCCACTGCTCGTCTATCCCGCCTGCCCTAAGGAGGTGTAGGTTTCGTTTGGTCTCTATCTCTCTCTCTCTGCTCCGTGGTCGCTGTCGCCGCCCCGTCGCCGCCTCGTCGCCGCCTCGTCTCCGCCCGTCGTCTGGGCCTTGCTGGCGGTCTGGCGGCTGTATTGTCGCCGTCGCCGCCCCGTCGCCGCCTAGATTGCACGACATAGGTTGCATCGCATAGATTCTCCTTCCTACAAGAGATAGAGACTCTACCCCCCTTCCCCTCCGGACTTAACGGTACCCCTTTTCGTTTTGCAATTTGCAAACAATTTAGCCCCATCGTCTATCTCCCATATGAAGTCGTTCCATCCCAGGCAGGCCGGTATCGCGCCCCGTTGTCCTCTGCAACAAAAACCTATCCGCGCACATTCGTTTGTCAAAACTCATCAGTTTAGCTTCCAAGAACCCCTTGCAACAAATGGAACGACATGCACATGAGCTCGTCGTCGCGCGCGCATGCCGACATCCTTCGAAAACCCTAGGTTGCGTAAGGATTTCAAAATCGAGTGTCCCGAAACATACAAAAAACCACATGGTTTCCCAACACGGATGTTCAAGAGAAGCTTGCTCTCGGGCTCTTGTGGGTTCTTCGACGAAGTGCACACGCGCGCGTCGTCGCGCGCGCATCCCAGAATCCTTCAAACACCATAGGTTTTGTACGTCTTTCAAAATCAAGTGTCCCGAAAACATATAAAACACATTTCGTCTTGCAACATTCGTGGTCTTGCGAATTCTTCGCGGTCGTGGTCTTGCGAATTCCTAAGAGCACCATCGGAGTTTCATCATTCTCATCGAATTCTGCCAAGCGGGCCTCTCGCGCCGCATGTCGAGATCATTCGAACGCCCTTGCGCGCGCGCTGGGGGGTGGGCACGATCCGTTTCAAACCAATCCATGCGGGCCACTCCCGCGCGTCGGCCGCGCGCGCATGACCAACTCCTTCCAAAAGCTGCATCACCGACGTGAGGACGGCGTCATCGTCGTCGGCGTGATCAGCATCGGAAGCGTCACTCTCCGTGCCGTCGTCGTTGTCATCGTCGTCACCAGAATCGCTACTATTATCATCGCGTCTGCCGTTTTCGACGTTGCCATGATTCCACGCCCGCCCAAGTCGCCGAGTCGAATTGAAGTGCCCGCTGGGAAGTGCCCAGCGGTCAACGCCACCGCGGCCGCACCGGTCGCGCCAAACTAGCTGGCCGCTTCGCGCGCGAGCATGCGCGCTGGCGCGGCCGCGGCGATGTGCCAGCCAGCGTCGAGCAGTCATCGCAATCGCCGCCGCATGGGTTTTGCAAACCAAGTTGCGGGTGGGTGAGTGGGATGACTGCGCGAGCAGCGGCGTTGACAGTTTCAAGCTCTGCAAGCTGATTTTTCTTGTCGAAAAAGAAATAGATTCTTCCCCCCCGGGATTTTCGGCACTTCTTCTCGTATTGCAATTTGCATGTGCTTCTGCTCCATCGTCCATCCTATATGTGAACTCGTACCATCCCAGCCAAGCCGGTATCGCCCCCCCTCCCCCCCGTCATCCTTTGCAAACAATATTATGCGCACGCGCTCGTTTATCACAAATCATCAGTTCCCAAGAACCCCTTGCAAACAATGAAACGAAGTGCGCACACGCGCGTCGTCGCGCGCGCATGCAGAAATCCTTCAAAAACCTTTGATGTCGTAAGGAATTCGAAACCGAATGTCCAAACACATACATAAAACAACACATGGTTTCGCAACCAAGATTTTCAAATGAAGCTTGTGCGCGCGCTCTTGCGACTTCTGAAGGAACCAATCGGTTTTGCAACATTTGCATACCATGCTACCAAAAATGCTTCGCGCGCGCGCGTGTCGAAATCGTTCGAATGCCCTTGCGCGCGTGCCGTCGCGGGAATCCATTGCAACAGACATGGGGCGAAGTGCACGCGCGCGCGTCGTCGCGCGCGCGTGCCAACATCCGTCAACAATCTTCGTTGTCGTAGCGATGTCAAAACCGAGTGTCAAAACAAGAAAACGTAGAAAAAACACACGGTTTCGCAGCACCAGTTAACAAAACACGTGCGCTCGCACCCCTGCGGATTTGGAAGAA